ATCAGTTGGTGGAGGGACAAATTAAAATGTGGTTTATCCATACAATGAAGTATTATTTAGCCAGGAAAAGGAACAAAGTACTGGCTTACGCTACAGCATGGATGAACCTCACACATTATAAGTTAAAGAAACCACACCACAGGTTATATGTGTATATTGTATGTTTCCATTTAGATGAAATATCTAGAGGTAAATATATAGTGACAGAAAGCAGTAAGTCGGGGGCTGGGAAGAGGTGGGAATGAGGAGTGACTGCTTAATGGTAAAGGTGATAAAATTATTCTGGAATTAAATAGTGGTGATAATTGTACACATTGTGAATGTGCTAAGTATGACTGGTTGTACACTTTAAAATGGTTAAAGTGGTGAATTTTATCTCAATAAATTGCTTTTACATTTACATTGGTATCTATTTTAAATGAAAGAATACATATACATACACATATATGTGAGATACAGGCCTAGTTATAGACATAGACTTAATATCACCTTATTTTCCTTTCCACTTTTATTTTGTCCTGTCTTCTCTTTCTCTGTTAATTAAAAATCTGGGTTATATCTTTTATCCTCTCAAATAACTGAGGTCAAATTTAATATCTTTGGTCATTTTATACACTAGTTAGATCTTGGTCTTTAATTCTTTTGGGGACTGCGATCCTTTCCCACCCTTCCACAGGTCCCCTTTTCATTTGAATGCCTTAGGTAATTATACTGCAAGCCTCCACCATTACCATCAGAATGGTAGACCTGCTAATATTATAAACAGTCTTAGTCCTCAGTGTTGTATACACAAGCCAGACTCCTAGCCTGTTTTAGAGCCCCTTTTTCCTCCAACTTCACCATTTTTTTCCCCTTTTACTCTGCTACTTCTGGTGGTACATAATGCCATTATCTCATTAAACCTTTGTATTTTCTTAGGTCCCCTTCTAGGCATTTAAACAGTTATTGAAGAGAGTATGTGCTATTCTGAAAGAATGAAGGAAATAAAATCTCTTTTCAGACTTTAAAGTTATGTAGCTTAACTAATTTTTGGTTTCTTGCTGGCATTTCAGTAACCTTGGCAAAGTCTTAACCATAGCTGATTAACAATATGTTTGTGGTGTATATGTGTGTGTGTGTGTGTGTATGCTTCTATCTGACCCTTCATTCTCAAAGAACATCAAAGTCATTGTGTATTAGAAGGGGCTTTTTCTAGTAACACGTGAAGTATAACCTGTTCTTTCTTATTTGTAGGAGCCCCTCAACAGTGAAGATGATGTGAGTGATGAGGAAGGACAGGAACTCTTTGATACAGAAAATGTTGTTGTATGCCAATATGATAAGGTAAGGATTTTATCAGATTACTGACATTTTTTTGTTATGAATTCTTCCCTAAATATCTGTTCTACCTTGTTCAAACATTTGGGCAGCTAATTGATGCCTCTTATATTCAGTATAAACAGTGAATGAAAACATTGTTATAGTTGATTATTTTAATAAAATGAGAAATTATTTATGTAGCTGTACATTTGAAAAATGTTACAGTAAAATCAGGAGAGGTAGGCGTTTTCCAATTTACTCTGTCTTCCACTTGTTAACAAAGTAAACAGAGCCACTTTGAGGTTGTCCTTTAACATTAATAATCTAGTGGAATAACCCCATTTTCCCTTTAGCTTCAACTACTTTAAAACTAAAAGGCTTTAACTGAATTCTGTCACCTTTTTTTTTTATTACTAAGGACAGAACTAGGGCAATAAGCAGGACTGATAACAGATGTGTTTTTACTAAAAATCATTTAAAAAATTATTCAGCTTTGCTTTATTTTGGTAGCATTAGGTATTTTTAAACTAGGTGTGTGAGAATTGGTTATTGAATCTTTGTTTTCCTAGTTCTCCAGAAGGATGCTGCCATCCAAGTATCTTTGTTGTAGTTACAGGCATTATTGTTGAGATTTTGTTACTTGCTGAAACATTTAATTTGGAATAAAATTGTTTGCTGATTATAATCATCAAATTTATAATAAATACAAAGTATATTGCATTTATAATTTAATTTCAGCAGTGGTCTTTACAAAATGATGAAAACCCTAACCGAAGCAATTGGGTTTTTGTTTGTAAGCACCACTCATTCATGAAACAAATACTTACTAAGTATCTACATGTGCCAGGCACTGGAGCTGCAATCATGATTATGCAAAATTTGTGCTCTGCATGAATTTCCTTAACAAATGATGAAGAGCTTAAATTTGTGTTGCTTCTATAGAAATGAATTTCCTAAGTAGCCATGCTTATTGCAAAGAGAACTGTAGGGAAATGTCAAAACAATGAATCTTAACATTTTGTAATGAAAAGGTAGTCAAACCAGTTAACTTATCAGAGAGATTACAGAATAAAGTCTGTGAGGCCATTGATACCGAATTACCAGAGCATCCACTCTTGTACTGTGTGACTTTTGGATAAGCTTCTTAAAACCTTATGTTATAATAAATGTAATTTCTTGTTACATTTATGTAGAGGAAGAGTATTAAGGTTAAAATAGATACCAATAAACCTTTGTTGTCAGGAAATGTGAAAGGAACCTCATACAACTAAATTATCCAGAACACAATTTCTTTTTTTTTTTTTTTTTTTTAATGTTTATTTATTTTTGAGAAAGAGCTTTCAAGCATGCAAGCAGGGGAAGGGCAGAGAGAGAGGGAGATAGACAATCCCAATCAGGTTCTGTGCTGTCGGCGCAGAGCCTGACGTGGGGATCGAACTCATGAAACATGCATGAGATTATGACCTGAGCTGAAATCAAGAGTCAGACGCTTAACTGATGGAGCCACCCAAGCACCCCCAGAACACAATTTCACGATGACAAGAGGTCAGATTTATTGGGCCAGGGAGGCCTTTACCCTAGCTAGATTGAAGAATATACTTCTCAGTATTTTCATATTATAAGAATGGTTGTATTCTCCTTTGTTATAAATTGTGCATATAATATTTGAAATGTTCAAATTGGTTTGATTTGCTCCTAAAGACATTTTAATGTTTTAAACAGAAACTCAAAATAGCTTTAAATACTATATTGAATGATAAACAATTGTAAAGTTTACAGAGATCTAATTTGTAGAATCAAATGAGTTCTGGAGGGCTGGGCTTGATGTTTTAGTCAATGGTAAAGAACGCTGGTATTCTATGAATTTGTTAAAATAGGGTTGGATATAGTTTGAGCAACTTGTATTTTAGGATTTTATATTTGAAGCCTAAACTTTAGAATTTCAGTAATGAGTCAATTTTAGAATACATTATCTTATTTATAGAAAGAATAATGAAGTCAATGTTGCCAATCAAAACCGTAGTTAAACCTAATAATGAAGCAGAGTTCTCTCTTGTTATGAATAAAGACTGATGGCATTAGGTGTTGAGGCTTCAGCTTTATTGGTAATTTTACTTAATATGCTTGAAGTGTTGAGTATATGGACTATTATTTGATCCTGAAACTTTTCTACATTTGCTTTTTGCATGTTGTCTTACAGCAGAATGCCATCCATTTCTTTACTTGTCTGGGGAATTTCTTTCTCTGGGCTACTCATCACTTTCTTGTTTATATAATCCCATTGTCTTTCAGGTGGCAGTCACTTGCTTCATGCTGGAAATAAATTTGTATACCTGTTTTTGGATAGCTACTACTTTCTCTGTAGGAGTGGTAAAGAAAAGAGGAAACAGAGGTCTTTTCATTCAACAAACAGAGTGTCTATGATGTACCAGGAAACTGTACTAGGAGGTTGACATACTCTAGTGAACAAAATAAAACAGTTCCTGCCATTAGGAAGTTTAGTCAAGGGAAACAGATGCTAAAACTTAATAATAAATTATTATGGTATGTTAGAAGCTGATAATTGGTATGGATAATTGGTAGGAAAGGGACAGGTTACAGTTTTTAAAAGGTTAGTCTTATTAGATCTTTTGAGAAAATAACATTTGAACAAGACTTGAAGAGAGCTGGGGTGCCTGGGTGGCTCAGTTGGTTGTGTCTCTTGATTTTGGCTCAGGTCATGATTTTCAAGGTAATGGGTTCGAGCCCCACGGAGTGGAGAGCCAGCTTGAGATTTTCTCTCTCTCTCTCTCTCTGCCCATCCCCTCTCACACTCCTTTTTGCAAAATAAATAAACTTAAAAAACAAACAAACAAACAAAAAACCTCTTGAAGAGAGTTAGCCTTGTCATTATCTGGTAACAGAGCCTGCCTGTTGTGTGTGAGGGGTGGACAGGGGCCAGACCAGAATTGTTGGACTGGGGATGCAGGGGAAGGGATATAGTAGTAGATTAAGTCAGAGGTAAGTGGGGGCAGGTGGTGTGAAACTTTGCAAGGATGTGGGTTCTTGTGCGTGAATTGGGAAGTTACTGGAAGGTTTCAAATAGATAGATGTAGTTATCACTTACATTTTAATTCTAAAAGGATTACTTTGCTTTCTTTATTGAGAGTAGATTGTGTAGAGGAAGCAGAGGTGAAACAAGGAGACTAACAGGATGTTGTAATCCAAGTGAGAGACCATGGTGAGTCAGGCTTGGGGGATAGTGTTGGAAATGGTGAGAAGCAGCTGAATCTTGGATATGTCTTGAAGGCAGAATCAGCAAGATTTTCTCTTCCTGGCTATGTGGTAGAAAAGAAAAAGAGGAATCAAGAATGATTCCAACATTTTTTGATGAGGACCCAGAAAGAAGAATGGAGATGCCATCAGCTCAGAAGGGAAAGGCTGAAGATGGAGCAGGTTTGGGAGAAGAGAGTGATTGGTTTGGGATTTAAGTTTGGTATGTCTTTTGGAATTCAAATCATCCATCTTAAGATGTGAGGTTTAACATCTTATCTACATAGTGTATTTTTCAACCAGAGCTATAAGACCACTTAATGCAAGAGTTTCTGCCCAGTCTACAGTTTTAATTTTATGTTGCTCTATTTTCTTGTACTAAGTAAGAAAAATTTGGTAAATATTAAATGTATATATAGTTTAACTCCATGATCTAGGGGAAAAGTATGACAGTTTTCAAATACATGAAGGGTGTATATATATATATATATATATATATATGTATATGTATGTGTGTGGGGGGTGTATTTTGTTTGTTTTTTGTTTTTTTAATTAAGTCCCTGAAGGTAGAGTTAGGATAAGTGGAAGTTTCGAGAAAGCAGATTTCAGTAAGCGGTAAAATATGAAAGACTTGTAGAGAGCAACCCCAGAATGGAATAACTTAATTTGCAATTCTTTAACGCACTCCCAAATCCTGAATAGTGAACAGCAGTTTGCCAAGAATATGCTATGGAAATGTTTGCATTGGGAAGTTAGACTGTGGAATTTTAGGAATGAGTTCTCAGAACGTATCTGTACAAGTGAACATTTCTGGATAATTATATGAAATGACCTGATTTAGTAAAAAGTGTGTTGGACCAGAACTTGAGAATCATCTTTGTCACTTATTAGCAATATACCCCTGGTCAACTCATTGAACGTCTCCAGGCATGATTTCCTCTTTCGAATATGAAAGCCTGACCTACTCAATTTTGAAGTCCCTTTAAACCAGAGAAGAGGGAGAACGGTTGGTCTTTCTTTGAAGATGTGGAGCTTGAACCGGAAATTGAATGATGTATGGGACTTGGAAAAGGAAGAAAGGTCATTTCAGTTGATTAAATTTTGTGACTTCTTTTTCCCCTTAAATCCATAAATTGCAAACAACTAAAAACTATAAATGAAAGTAAAGATGGGAGTGCCCAAGGTCTGGTCCAGTTTGAACACTGCCATTCCCCTTTTGGCTTAATTGCAGATATACATAGTTTTTGAAATCTTAAGTAATCAGATATATTTGTTAAATACTGCCAAGTATAAGGTTCCACGTTAGGTCTTGAGAAAACGATGTTTTACTTTGGTAGGAGAAAATAATTTATATACTTAGAAATGATACTAGAAATGTGTTTAGGAATACCACTGAAAATTAACAATTAGACTACTTTTTGAGGCACCTGGGTGGCTCATTTGGTTATGCATCTGACTCTTGATTTCAGCTCAGGTCATGATCTCATGGTTCATGAAATTGAGCCCCGCATAGGGCTCTGTGCTAACATTGCAGAGCCTGCCTGGGATCCTCTGTCTCTCACTCCACCAACCCCCGCCACGTGCATGCGTGGTGCTCTCTCTCTCTGTCTCTCTCTCTCAAAATAAATAAATTTAAAAAAAAAAAAGTACTTTTAGCTGATGTGATTAGGGAAAGCTTTGAGAATAGTTATTTTTGAGGTGGATCTTGAAATAGGAATTGAATTTGTAAAAATGGGAGCAAGGGATGAGACTTCTTTTGATTGAAATAAAGTCTTTGAGAAATGTGGAGGTAGGAAATAAGCTTGGAAGGTGAGTTGTTACCAGGTCATTTAGAAATAGAAATAGTCGGGGCGCCTGGGTGGTGCAGTCGGTTAAGCGTCCGACTTCAGCCAGGTCACGATCTCACGGCCCGTGAGTTCGAGCCCCGCGTCAGGCTCTGGGCTGATGGCTCAGAGCCTGGAGCCTGTTTCCGATTCTGTGTCTCCCTCTCTCTCTGCCCCTCCCCCATTCATGCTCTGTCTCTCTCTGTCCCAAAAAAATAAATAAACGTTTAAAAAAAAAAAAAAAAAGAAATAGAAATAGTCAAGCAGAGGTGATTTTTTTTTTTTTAATGTTTGTTTATTTTTGAGAGAGAGAGATAAGAGTGGGAGTAGGGGAGGGACAAAGAAAGGGGGACACAGAATCCAAAGTAGGCTCCAGGCCCTGAGCTGTCAGCACAGAGCCCGATGTGGGGCTTTAACTCACGAACCACGAGATCATGACTTGAGCCAAAGTCAGACACTTAACTGTCTGAGCCACCCAGGCGCCCCTCGAACTCTTATAAAACATAGAAGAGGGAACATTCTACTAAAGTCATTTTATAAGTTCAATATTACCCTGACACCAAAACCAGACAAGGACACCACAAGAAAAGAAAATCATAGTAGGCCAATATTCCTAATGAACACAGATGCCAAAATCCTCAATAAAATAGCAGCAAGCTGAATTCAGCAATGTATTGAGATGATCATATACCATGACCAGGACCTAGTGGTCTTTATTTTAGGGGATCCAAGGATGATTCAACCTACACAAATCAATCAATGCGATAAAAAAAATTTTAAACTTCTTTAATTAAAAAAAATTTTAAACTCTTAAGATCATTTCAGTAGATGCAGAAAAAACATTTGGCTGAATTTAGCATGCATTTATGATAAAAACTCAACAAAGTGAATATTAGAGGGGCCGTATGTACCTCAACATAATAAAAGGCACTCAAGACAAACGTGCAGGTAACATACTCAAAGATGAAAAGCTGAAAGCTTTTCCTCTAAGATCAGGAACAAGATGGGTGTTTAATTCTTGCCATTTTTATTCAACATAATAGTAGAGGCTCTAGCCAGAGCATTTAGGCAAGAAAAAGGAAATAAATAGCATCCAAATTGGAAAGGAAGAAGTAAAACTGTCACTATTTACAGATGACATAGTATTATATATTATATATAGAAAACCCTAAAGACTCCACCAAAAAAACTAGTAATTCAGTGAAGTTGCCAGGTATAAAATCAATATACAAAATATGTTGCATTTCTGTATGCTAATAAACTATCAGGGAAGTCAAGAAAACAATCCTGTTTATAATTGCATCAAAAAGAATAAAATACTTTGGAATGAATATAACCAAGGAGATGAAAGACCTGTGCACTGAAAACTGAGACATTGGTGAAAGAAATTGACGAAGACACAAATAAATGAAAAAATATTTTGTGCTCATTGATTGGAAGAGTTAATATTAAAGTGTCCATACTACCTAAAGTGATCTACTGATTTAGTTCAGTCCCTACCAGATTTCCAAGGGATTTTCATAGAAATGGAACAAAAAATTCTAAAATTCAAACGACCCTGAAAAACCAAAGGTAACTTAAGAAAGAAAGAGGCATCATGCCTTTTGATTTTATTCTATATTACAATACTGTAAAAAAACAGTATGGTATTGACATAAAACCAGACGTTCAGATCAGTGGAACAGAAGAGAGCCCAGAAATAAATCTACATATACGTAGTCATTTGATTTACAACAAAGGAGCTAAGAATATACAGTAGGGAAAGGACAGTCTCTTATATGAATGGTGCTGGGAAAACTGGGCAGGCACATGCAAAGGAATGAAACTGGACTGCTATCTTACAACATAAGATGGATTAAAGACTTGAATGTGAGATCTGAAACCATAAAACTAGAAGAAAACATGGAAGTAAGTTCCTTGACATGGGTCTTGGTGATGATTTTTTAGATTTGGCACCAAAAGCAAAGGCAACAAGAGCAAAAATAAACGGGAATACATTAAACTAAAAAGCTCCTGCACAGCAAAGGAAACCATCAACAAAATGAAAAGGAAACCTACAGAATAGGAGAAAATACTTGCAAATTATATATCTGATAAAGAGTTAATATCCAAAATGTATGGAAGCTCACTCAGGTCATGATCTCCCGGTTTGTGAGTTTGAGCCCTGCGTCGGGCGCTCTCTCTCTCTCCCTCTCCCCCCCCCCCCCTCACTTCTGTCTCTCTCAAAATAAATAAACTTAACAAAATAAAAAGTAAATAAAACATGGGCAGAAGAACTGAACAGGTGTTTTTCCAAAGAAAACGTAAAATGGCCAACAGGTACATGAAAAGGTACTCAACATCACTGTCTGTCAGAAATACACATCAAAACCATAATGAGATACCACCTCATGCCTGTTAGAATGACTATTATCAAATGACAAGAAAAACAAGTGTTGGTGAGGTTGTGGGAAAAGGAATCCTTGTACACTTTTGGTAGGAGTGTAAATTGGTATAGCCACTGTGGACAACTGTGGAGGTTCCTTGAAAAATCAAAAATGGAACCACATATGATCCAGCAGTTCTGCTTCCTGGGTAGTTATTCGAAGGAAATGAAAGCACTAACTCTGAAAGGTTTATGTCCTCCCATGTTCATTGCAGCATAATTTGCAGTAGTCAAGACAAGCAAGCAACCTAAGTGTCCATCAGTGGATGGGTGGATAAAGAAAACATGGTATATGTTTATATACACATGATGTATTTGTATATTATTGTATGCAGCCATAAAAAAGGAGACTTGTTGTTTATGATAACTTGGAGGGACCTTGAGAGCATTATGCTAGGTGAAGTAAGTCAGAGAAAGGCACGTACTGTATTATTTCACTTATTTGTGGATTCTACAACAACCAAGCAAAAATAAACCAAAAAACAACTGAACTCGTAGAAACAAAATGGTCATTGCAAGAGACCAGAGGTTGGAGACTGGGGCAAATGTGTGAAGGGGGTCAAAAGTACAAATTTGCAGTTATAAAATAAGTAAGTCCTACAGGTGTGAAATACAGCATGTTGATTATAGGTAATGCCATATTATATATTTGAAAGTTTTCAAAGAGTAGATCTTAAAAGTTCTCATCACAAGAAAACAAATTTGCAACTATATATAGTGATGAGTGTTAATTAGACTTATGATCATTTTATAATACCGGATCATGTTGTGCAGCAGAAACTAATGTTACCTGTTATCTGTCAATTAAAAATAATTTGTAAATGCAATAATGTACAAGACAAAAGTTTTTTTGATGTGAATGGGTTTTCGTTTCCTATCTTTTGTATCTCTTACGTTCTTTTTTTGTTTCTTTAGATACACAGAAGTAAAAACAAATGGAAATTTCATCTCAAGGATGGCATTATGAATCTTAATGGAAGAGATTATATATTTTCCAAAGCCATTGGAGATGCAGAATGGTGAAGAGTTGGTTCTTTTATTTTATAAATAAACAAAAGAAACTTAAAAAAAAATTTTAAGTGGACAGTTTGAAACTTGGGACATACACCAACCAAAACTTAACTTCTGCATGTCAGAAAAGTGCAGTAGAATCAAAGCTACTGGAACAAAGAGACCTTGACAACATAGACACTACTTCTAACTGGCAAGCCATGGAACTGTAGCACCTGGGGTTGTTGGGGTGGGGGAGGCTGGGGTTTTGGAAAACCATAATTGTCGATTTTAAATACAGGTACCTGCCACCAGTAATTAGCATGTAAAGCTTTGTCTATATTCCTTCCTCCAACTTGGGTTCAATCAGAAGATATTTGTTGGAACGAACTGAAGAAAATTCCCTTTTGATAGATTGACCTGAAACTGCTTATTGTATGTGGTTATATTTGGTAAAAATTGCGTGTGAGCTTTTTACAAAAGGGTAAGAATTATGGTGTTGAATTTTAATTCACTTGTATAAGGAAACAATTTAGAACTCTCATAATAGGTCTTAAATATTTTTACTAGCTATTCTCCCTCAGTAATGTATACCTCTTCCTTCCCTGCTTTATGAAACATCTGTTTAAGAGTTAAAGGAAGTAATCAGTGATCACAGTTTGGAGACAAAATTTGACCCAGGAATGGATATTTATTTTAATTAGGTTCTCATTAAATGTAATTTAAAGACTTGGGTCTCATTGAGTTGAGCAGAATTAAAATGATGACTTCGGTTTCCTTCCAGAAAAATCATATTTGTTTTTTTTGTTGTTTTTTAGTCCCATACCTTAAAAAGAAACCCCGGAGTGGCTCCTCAGGAATACAGTTTTAGTTCACAGAGGTACCATCTAGCTGAAATTACATACACATGAATAGATAGATTTTTTTTCCTGTTGAACTGAAGAATATGCTTATATATGTGTTTAATCTTTAAGCTAAATATTCAGATAATACTCTGTATTGATTGAAGCATTCATTGAGCAGGTGGTGAGGACCTGGGTTTTTCTTAAACGATTTAGTAACTATTAAAGTTTCCTGTATTTACTAGTAAAGAATTTAAAAACTCTTCTAATTGGGGAAAAAAAAAAACACTTTTAATTGCAACTTTGTAATTTGAGGGGAAATTTTGGGGGTTAGAGGGGGATGGGCCACTAAGTACATATTTACCTCTCTTTGATTTGGTGGCCCTTCCAGGCCATTGATAATGTATACATGGGCTCCAGTTTGCACATCGAGAAGAAAGCATAGAAATTTGACTTGTATATTAAGAATAATAGAAATTTAATATGTATATTAAGAATACACAGCTCTGTATTCTGTAAGGGGCTCTAAAGAACAATGTGGCAGTGCTGTGTTCCGTGTGAACTAGTTGCCTGGGAGAACTGTAGGATCACTTGTCTTCACCTATATTTTCTTGTAACTAATTCTTTTCACGGTCTATCTTGGCAAAATTCACATGTGGTAAAGTTACTCATATATTGATTTTTTTTTTAAGTCTTCCATTTTTGTCTTCCTTTTTATTTGCCTTTATATGTGTTTCTAGAAGTAACATAGAAACGCTTTACATTGCAAAGAGAAACTGTGAGCTATTATATGTTTTTTTAACACAGATCTTTAAACTTCTCAAAAAGGCGAATCAATTTGTGTGTGTGCGTGCGTGTGCGTGCGTGTGCGTACTTACTTCCCACCCCACATACCATCTTGGACCCTTTAACTTATGTTCTGAACTTTGGTGTAAGTGATGGTTTCTAGCATGCTAGTAGTTAGGTTTTATTTAGATGCGATTAACTGGTAATACGGTTTTAATTTTTACTCTATTTAGTTTTTTGGAGGTGAGGTTTATTTACCCCACTACTCTCAAAGCACACACAGGTTTTTTTCTTTTTGTTAGTGAGACTGGGAGAAGAGAAGGGAGGGGGTGAAATCACAGCAGTCCTGTTGTTCATTTGTCCTTCAGTATAGTTGTTAGTAGGTTTATATTTACCCAATGAAGAAGTCAATGACCTGAACTACCTATAAAAGTTTAGCAGTGCTGCAATGTTGATTGAAACCCTTTGGCTATCGTAGTTCTGCTACTGAACTTTGGATTACTATATGATATTCAGCTCATGTTTTGGGCCCTCTATGTAGACAAACATTTGTATTCGTAGTAGAATTGTATACTGGCCTGTTTTTATAACATTTTCAAACATGAACAACCACTGCTTTCAGAATGACTCACTAGGGCTATTTTGAAGCAGGAAAGAACCATTTGTATTTGCACCTGTATATTGCATATTAATTATGGCATACTTGGCAAATGCTTTTCTTTTACCTGTGAAAATTCTGAAAGCTGGTCCAAACAACACTGCATACCAAATTGTGCTCTTATATATTACTGCATCGTGTTCCTTTTTAATCAAATAGAATGTTTTAGTTTTATTATAGTGGCTTGCTATAAGAATGCCACTTGCTTCTCTTTTACTGTACTTGAATTCTTAATCATGCTTTTAATGTATTTAACAAATCATTTCATTAGGTTCTATAAAATGTCATTCCTTTGAAAAGGCAAGGATTCCCACTTTCAGATTTTGAAAATGAAAATAACATGTTACTTTAAAGAGGGAAAGTAGTTCAGACTTGGTATTATGAAAATAAGTAAAGGTTTCAGAAGAAGATTTGTTTAGATTTGCACAGATGGTGATGGCACCTTTTATTCAAAAAAAAAAAAAAGATTAATGTTAACAGTGCTAAGGAAAATTTACACACAGTTCTAGGTAAAGTGGGGAAATGTGTGCCTTTCAGTATATGTACCCTTTTTTGGTGGTCATTTGTATAATCAGACCATTTGAATTGCCTGAGAGCACATTTAATTTCTGTAGAGAGCCACATTTGGCTAAACCAACTCTAATGTGCAATTAGTTTCTAGAGTAAAATGTCTGTTATATGAGGGGGATCTTTATATTGGGCTTTTATATTTTTTTTAAATGTTCACATTTAACATTTCTTTCTGTTAATTAAATGCCATCATATCACATTTATATTGTTGCCTCTTAAAATCAAAGCCACCTTGATGTTATTCTTAGGAATACATCAGGATCTGAGCGATGTGTATAGTGATTAAAATGTGTTCTTGAAGAGCGTATTCTAATAGATTTTCGTTTTAGACAGCAAGAACATAAAAATATAATAGCTTTTGTATAAAGATTTTCTTTTGCTATATGAAAATCAAGGATTTGGTTTTCTTTTTTCTGGCTTTTATGGAGGAATAAAAAGGGTTGACTCCCTCTAAGAGTAATTTTTGGTTATCTTATAGCAATAATGTCACCATTCTTTTCAAAAGGTAAATATGCCTTGTACAGGAATGTAGACATAATTTCCTCTTGGGAGTTCCCTTTATAACTTCGCATTTTCTTCCACTTGAGAAAATTCCTATATTTTCAGATTATTTCATCTTGAACTTTTTTGAGCTTTTGTGCAATGGAATATTTTATTGATCCATCTTTGTACATTTTCATTTTATCTCATGTCTGTTTCCCATCTATCTGTCAGCTATTTCAGATTTTGAATTCATTGGTTAAAACATAGTTGCTTTAAATAGTTCCTCATGAGTTTATGTTAAATAGTTTTGCATTTTAACCTATTATGCTATGGAAATTATTCTCAAGTTTATAATTCCCTTTTTAAGCCTGCCTTAGTCTATCTTTTGTCATTTTTATGATTTAAGGAAGAACTTTAAACACCGAGCTTACTAGTTTTGTTTATTTTGAGGAACAAGAGAACAAGAACAAGTTCTTCCCTTAAGGGAAGAACTACGTGGAATTAGTAATTACTATTTTAGTCAAGGTTCCTTAAATCAGTCCAGTATGTGTCAGGGCTACAATTTTGGGGGAGGGGCTAATCCTTTTGCTGTTCTGAGCTACTATTGTCAACTGCTGTTGTACATACTGTTATGTGTAAGGGCGTAAATATATTTATTATGTTTGTAAAATTCATTCTGTACAATTGCAGATCAAGGTTGCTCTTCTGTGATATACAGGATATTATGTTTTAAAGACCATCTTGGAATACAATTAGAGAACTTAGTATTTTGATGTACTAAGACCTATTTTAAGTTTAATATTTTACCTTTGCAAAAACTTTAATTAAAGATGTTATTTAAAAAAGAGTAATGTTGCTTGCTTTGTTTACTAGTGTATAATATTATGTAGCCAACTGAATAAAACTATACAGTTTAGAAAGGAAAATACATTGTTAAGTTCCATTTATCAAAAAAAAAAAGGGTATCATTAAGTTCTATACCTTTAAGTAGGGTGGGATGACAATCTGAATTATTAAACTGTATTACAAATTCAGAGTAGCTTTAAAAAGAATAGTTGTATTTTCCAGGCACCAACAAAATAACTAAAATTGATAAAATTGACATATTAAGTAATTCTCCAAAGAATAGATTACTTACGATAGAATTATATGAGGACATGTTTTTAAATTATTCTGTTTAGCTAAATCTTTTCTTTAGTTCAGAGTTTGTAAGTAAATGCATAACAGGAGAATTGAATTACTGAGGTTTGTATTACATATTATATATATTTTGTGTTATTTTAGAAGGTATTAAATAATTAGGCATTTCATTTTACAGTTAATCCAAATGAATCATTAAGAAGCTTGGGGTAGTTTTTGTTTGTTTTTGTATTTTTTAAATTCTGCTGCTACTTTAGGAAACCAAGTTTTAACAAAACAATTCTAATAAAGACATTTATTGCCAGCAAATCTTGTATTTTTGCAGTTTAAGCTACTGTGTTGATCTTAACCATTTTGGCCTCAGTTTCTCCATCTGTAAAATGATGACAATCTGGATTTGAAGACTGAGGTACAATGCATGTAAAGCTCTCCGAATTGTGCTTGGTAACAGCAAGCACTCAGATGTCACAAATTACTAATTTTGTAATTATATACATTTAAAATGATTGGTGGAGCTGAAAAACGTTTTTTTAATGGTGGCAAATAGCAAAAGA